CTTCAAACCATGTCGTTACAGCGTCGGTGGAGCCTATGTAGAGAAGATCATCGACGTAGACGATAAGTAGAATGTAGTCGGTGCCTTTCGTCAGTCGATACATCCCTTGGTCGTGTGGTAGCTGAAGAAATCCGATGCGAATTAGGCGGGCGTGAAGGTGTTGCTGCCATAGTCTCGGAGCCTGCTTGATCCCGTACAACGACTTCTCCAATTCACTGATTTGGTTTGGGCCTGCGTTGCACCCATGCGGGAGTTTGACGAAAATCTCAGCGTCGACGGGGGCGTAGAGGAAGGCGTTGGCGACATCGATTTGTCGGAGCTTCTTCCGGTTCATGGTGGCGATTGTGAGGAGAATTCGCAGTGAGGTATGTCGGCTTACTGGGGCGAATGTTTCCGTGAAGTCTCGCCCTTGCTCTTGGTCGAAGCCCCGCACGACCCAGCGTGCTTTGAACTTGTCGATTGTTCCGTCGGCTTTCGTTTTCACGCGGAAAACCCATTTTCCCGTGAGGATAGTTTTGTTGCGTGCCACTTCGATAGGCACAACTTTCCAGGTGTTGCGTTCCTGCAGCGCCTTCAATTCTCTGTCCATGGCTTCACGCCATTTTTCCTTGTGTTCCCCCCCCAGAGCCTGCTGAATTGTCGCAGGCTCGTTAGGTGGTTCTGCTCCGTGGACGGCGGTGACGACTCCCAGTATCTGCAGGCCACTCTGTGTGTAGCGGGGAAGATTTGTGTCCTCTGGATAAGTTGCTTCGTCTCCTGCTTCGGGGTCTGGTAAGAAATTCGGTCCTATGCGTTCGGAGATGTTGGTGTCGACCGGTTGAGGTGTAACGTAACCGGTGTCGGCGAAGTCGAAATAAGTTTCGGCGTTGACACTTTTGCGAGGATTTTCGTCATCCATCGGGATAGGCACGGAGCAGTATGGGAGTGGTCTTGCTTCTTCGAATGCGTTGTCCACGTTTTGCTCGTCCCAGTCAGCTTTGTCTGCTGCTGAGGCGAAGGCTCGGTTGCCACGGAAGCCGCCCGTGAGGTCTCGATTTGCTGCCAGGTTGTCCAGGTACGTTTGAAGTGTGAGTCGCTCGTAGAAGATGACATCACGTGCTGCCACTGTTTCCTTCGAGTGGACGTCAAAAATCTTCCATGCGTTGTAATGCTTTTCGATGCCCAGGTGTAGTCCCCACTGTGCGCGTTGAGAAAATCTTCCGGCTCTTGCAGTGTGCGGGCGATACTGTACCATGCACCCGAAGACTCGTAACATTTTTGTGTTGCCCAACTTTCCTGTCCACAGCAGGTGCGGTGATGCGTTGTTCGGAAGTGATGACGACGAAAGCAAGTTGTGCAGCATGACAGCGTGGTCCATCGCCTCAGGCCACTGGTGATTGGGCTGCCATACAGCAATTTGCGCATGGTGTTCTGGAGAGTTCTGTTCATCCGTTCTGCCACGCCTTGCTGTTGATGGGCGTAGGGAAGCGAGATGAGTCGCTTGATGCCTCGTTCGGCGAGATACTATTTGAATCTTTGGGACTGATATTCCCCTCCTCCGTCAGACTGGAAGCTTTTCAGCTTTACTCCTGATTCTCGTTCTGCCACAGGTAGCCAGGCGACGAAAGCTTCGAAGGCCATGTCGCGACTTGGGAGATTAAGATGCCAGACGTAACGGGTGGCGGCGTCGATGAAAGTGATCACGTAATTATATGCTCCTTGTCCTTGTTCGCGAGTATACAGGATGTCGCTGTATACTTTCTCGAGTGGTGCGTAGGCTGGCGCGCTTGGATTATGGTGAGAGACGAACGGTTGATGGGGTAAGTCGGCTTCGGGACAGGTAAAGCATGTTCCTCGGACTCGTTGTAGTTCTCTGCCGTCGGGTAGAAGGAGTGAATCTTTGTCCAGTACTGCTGCCTTGATTGTATTATTTAACGTGGTGTTGCTTGGGTGACCCAGTCGTTCGTGCCACAAGGATTCGCTTGCTCGATGTCCAGGTGAGCGCCTGTACAGGTCGGAGTTGGAGTAAAAGGCGGCGGTGAAGTTGGCCCTTCTGTGAACTTCTCGTGGAGTGGGGGTTAACTGCTGCGTAGGAGTTGGTGGAGAGTTGTCGATGAAGGCTGGTGCCGTCGAAGAGCTCGCGATTGGTGCTGTAAGTGTTGCTGTTGTTGCCGATGTTGTCTTTGCTGTCAACGATGTTGTTTCTTCTTACCGAATTGTTGCTAATGCCCGTGTTCTTTCTGCTTCAGGTATGGTATGTGAGTACCAGAATCCTCCAGGGCTGAAGTCGGGATCAAGGTCCGGAGGATGTGTCCAGGAAGTGAAGTTGACGATGGCGTCGCTGTCGGCGGTTCCTTGGTCGGGGACGAAATCAAGAACGAAGACGTTGTTCTTCAAGACTGCTCTGCCGATGTAGAGTCCTCCTCTACCGTGGAATAGCTTAAACTCTTGAGTGGTGCTGTCTGCTTCAAGATGAATACCCTTCGCCATTAGTTGGCTGACGCTCAGTAAGTTGTAGCCGAGTCCTTCTGCAATCAACACTTTAGACATTTGTAAGATGACGTTGGTTTCTGGGGACTGAAGTTGTACTATTCCTTGTCGTCGTGTGTGCAGGTTCTGGTTGTTGGCCATAGTGATGACGACTTCGTGTTGAAGTTGATGTTCTCGTTGGACGAAACGACTTGAGGAACACATATGCTGTCCGCAACAACTGTCTAAGAACCAAGTGTCTTGTCCGGACGGCTCGCTTTGGGCAATAGCTGCATACGTCGGATTGGGCTCCAGTGATTCGCGGCGGGGAGTCCTTTCATCGAGTTGGTCTTCTGGTGAGTAGTGGGGTGGTGATCCGGTGATGCAGGAGTCCGTCGTTCTTGTCATGCAGCTAACGATGTTTCTTGTTCCTTGTGCAGATTGCGATGTTGAAGATGTTGAAGGTTGCACTTGACTGGTGGGATGCGCCTCCGTAGAAGCTACTTGACTGCTTGAAGGCCGAAGTTGACGTTGCGGTGTTGTCGACTGCTGTTGATTCGGGCAATGTGTACGCGGATGACCGGACGTCTTGCAAAGATGACAAAACGGTGGGACGTATTGTTGTACTTGTCGGTTGTTGTGTCGGTTATTGTTGTTGTAGCGTCGTTGAGTGTGGAAGGCGAACTCCGGTGCTAATGCTTTCTTCTTGTGTCGTTCTTCGTGCAGGTCCATATCTTGCTGTTCAGCGTGAATTTCGGCGCAGAGTGCTGCTTCGGAGATCTTTCCGTGAGCTCGAAGAAGTGCTCGAGTGGAGCGCCAATGAGGACCAAGGCCGGCGATGATGACTTTTACAAATGCTTCTTCCGAAATTGATCCTCCGCATCGAAGGAGTCTGTCGCGTAGTCCGCGACAACGGCTAATATAAGCCATTCCCTTTTCGTCGGGTTTCATTTCCACTGTTGTCAGCTGTGCCATGAGACGACTCTGGTTAACACTGTCTGTTGCTTGATACAGGCTCTTCAGGTGGTCGTACGCCAGCTCGGCGGAGTTGCCGTGTCCTCGATAAGACCGAATGTTCTGCTGCTCGTTTGGCGTTAAGTTTCGAAGGAGTATCGTGTACGCCATCAGTGACTGATATGTGTACAGTTGCTTGTCGTACTGTGTCCCATGTACTGGATATGGCAGGGACCCGTCGAAGAATCTGAGAATTTGCGCGCCCTCCATCATCAGTTCAAACTCGAAAGACCAGGTATAAAAATCCTTCCCGTCGAAAAGCGTTGATGTTTGTAATTTGAGAACGTGTGCGAATTGCGATTGCACTTGAAGCGCGTCCAGTGTCTTCTCTTGTCCAGGTGAAGACTGCGGCTGCGGCGCGAAACTGACAGAGCCGCGTTGAGGCTCATACGGAGCAAAGGTAGGTTGTTGTTGATTTCCGCGCGCGTACGATGAACCATCAAGACTCATTGGTGTTGCTCTGTTGTTGTTGCTGTTGTTTGATTGCGCAGGAGCTGCTTGCTGATGTTGCTCGTAGAAGGACATGAAGGAGAAAAATGTCTCCATCATGTTTGAGTCGAAGCCTGCCGCTTTGATTCTCGGGAGTTTCCGTTGACTCTGCAGCTGGTCTTGTGCCTTCTTCTGTCTGTAGGCCAGAGACTGGAGGTGGAGTAGGGGTGGTGCCGAGAGATCCGTTGGAGGAGCTCCTCTCCTTTTGTCTAGCCATGACTTGTAATGTAAAAAGTTAAAAAGTGATCTTGTCCTGCCTTGCTCTCATACCATGTTGGGCTGAGGAAAGCCCTTAGGAACTTTCAGGACTAAGATCGGGTGTTGACGTAGAGATGTAAGAGCGGAAGCGTTTAATGAAGAGTTGTCGTGAACCACCTTGTATTGGTGTGTGAGAACAAGATAAGTTAATAATAGCATAGAAGTACAAGGCTTTTATATGATTACAAAGGAATATGGAAAGTTCTATTTTAACTGTTTTTGCTGTTGCGGTTCGATACAGTGCCGACTCGGGTAACTGCTCTGTAACGAGTCAGTTATGTGTCCTTGCTGTCGCACTGTACGTTTCGTCAGGTCAAAGGTCGGAGACCTTTGACCTTCGTGCAACCTCCGACAGTTGCCTTGGTTGACTCGAGTGCTTCTTCGCTGTAGTCAGTTCCGTTTTGTGTCGAAGCTTCGATACGACAGAAGCGTTATAAATCACTTGTTTCCAACAACTACTAGTAAACAACCCGCTGCACTTTTGGCAACACTCTGGACTGCTCACTGTAACCCTCGGCAAACATGTACAAGTAGGACTGACCAAATGCACACATACATACAAATGTGCACTTGCTTTTCCAAGCATGGACATACAGCCGAAGGTTCCAACCACCATTCTGCTCTCCACTCCTCCACTCCCCTTTCCTCTGATCTCCCTCTCCTCCTCTCTCCTCTGCTTTCTTCAACTCCTTTCCTAGCTCTTTTCTCTCCTCTCCTCTCCTCTCCCCCGCTTTCCCCCTTCTCCCTTCCCCTCCCTTGTCTCCCCCCTGCTCTTCTCTCATCGTATCACATCACACGCCAGACGACCGGAGAGTTTCAAACAGCAGGCCCCTGGAAGCAAGGCCGGGCCACAGGCGGTCCCCCCCATGGAAGGCGGCAGCCGGGGGCAGCACCCCGCCTGTGGGCAGTGTTGCGGGCGAACGGGCCAGGAGAAACACGGCGCTCTGCACTGCTATGCGTGGGGTTACCACATAACCCATCTCCTGAAGGTGGATGGGTTAGGAGAGGGGAGAGGATGCGGGGAATAGGGACGAGGGAGTGGCAGGGCACGTGCCCATGTGTGTGTGTGTGTGTGTGTGTGTGTGTGTGTGTGTGTGTGTGTGTGTGTGTGTGCGCGCGCATGTGCATGTGCATGTGCATGTGCATGTGCATGTGGGGCGTGTGTGAGTGCAAGCGTGCGCACGTGTGAGAGCAGAGTGAGCAAGTCAATTCCTTACAGGTCCACTGACGACAGTCGACACATGGCAGTCCGGTATCGGCCGAATGCGCTTGCCCTTGCCCTCGCCCTTCCCACGCCCACCACGCTGCTGCTGCTGCTCACCCCCTTGAAACGCATTTAGTGTGTCTTGGGAGAACCCCCGCGCCTCAAACAGCATGCGGAACCGCGTGCACGCTAGCTGCTCCGGCGATGGACCTGCAGCGGTAGTGCCGGCAAGTGGTGGTAGTGCCGCCGACAGGCCACCCAGGGGAACCAAACACACAAGGTTGGGCACAGGAGACGCTAGAAGCAGAAGAAGTTTAGGGTGAGAGTTCAGGGTGGAGTTATGAGAGGTGGATTGATAGCTTGATGTGGAGGTGGGTGGACGCTGGGTTTCACAATCTCTGTTCAAAAAGCAGTTCCTGAATAGTGGTTTCAGGAGGTGGTTTGGTAGCCTGTCTACTTCCGTCCCGTGATTCTCAAGGAGCTCAGCTCCTGGCACTCTGACTGACACAAAGAACGGATAAAAGAACTAAAAAACCACAGCTGTGTTGTGCAGGTCTGGGTTGTTGTCACTCATGGTGGAAGGGCAGCAGTGCTAGTGAAACGCTTTAGCAAGTAAGAAAAAGAGTAAAAATTCCCTAGCTAAGAAAACTCTGATCGCAAGAACTGAATTCACTCAATCAGAACAGGTCGCAAACATGTTTCGGCAAGGGGGGAGAACCCGTCAAGCCTTCATCAGTGCTTCTGAACACAAAGGGATCCAACAGCTAGGCATAGGCTAAGTAATCAACCTACATCGCGAACAGAATTCAAGGTTCCCATCCACCCAGATTGCCCAACAATGGGCATTCGCCAACACAGCACTGGGTAAAAACCCCAGGTTACAAGTGTCAGCCTTCTATGGTGTCTTCGTCAGGGCTATCGATAAGCCTTGGAACCTTCGCTCGCACGAGTAACTTTTGCAAGTTACGTGCACACCTCCATGCAATGTAAACATTCCCCATATAAAAACCGCGTGAACTGAGACGATTTTTTAGGCGCCTCAAAAGGACCCCCAGCCTGAGTCTGGCTGTCACCGGAGTGAACAGTGTCTTCAAGACCAGGGGGCCGCGTTCGGGGGGGGAAGAAAGTCGGTGTGCTTGGCGAGCTTCGGTTTGCTCCAGAAGGAGCGGGCGTTAGCTAAAGAGAACACTGTGGAAAATGGGTGTGAGAAAGTCAGCAGGGTAACCCCGATCTCTAAGTCGCCGGAAGAAAGCGCGCTTAGAAGCTAGAAAGGTTGGGGCAGATGTCGAGCGCAAAAGGTACCGCTTCGGTTCAGCCCTTACAAAACCCGTCTTGCAGTGTCGTGGGTGGAATGAAGAAAAAAGCAGGTCCATAAACTCCATAGATCACGCAGATTCTGCACAACTTCGACGGTGGGATTGTGGAAACACGGGGCGTAGGTGGCCGCATCATCGAGATGATCAAGACAGAGGCGGGTGTAGGTGCTCCGGTCCATCACAGTTATCCCCACGTTCTTGTCAGCAGGTTTCACTACCACGTTTCGATCCGTAGCGATGGAGCGCAACGCCCGTCGAACACCGCCCGAAATGTTTCAGTGACGAATGGGGCGTGCAGCCTTCAGCAGGACGGACAGGTCAGCCGGCGGGTCCTTGAAGACCTGCTCCGGAATGTCAATCCGATCGGGCAGCCATCCGGGGTTCCGCACACGAAATCTCTGGTTCCCCTTCAAACCTCCCGAATCCTTGAAGAAAAAATGAAGCGAAATCTGGCGCAGAAGCGTGTCAAGCTCCACATCGCCAGAAAGGGAAGCGGCAGGCGTTGGAATGAACTTCAGACCCAACTAAAGCCCTTTCCTCTCATCCGAAGACAAGATTTTAGAGCTGAGGTTGTGAACTCCCCGGTTCCGGATCCGCGCCGACACCTGTCGCACTGTCAGCCGTCCGAACCAGCGGAGTGCCAAATCATGGCTCGTTAGTTCTTGTGCGGCCCTTTTCCTGGGCCGCCTCCGCCGTTTTTTTATCCCTTGGCTTTCTCATCAGCTGCTTTGCCTTTCGCTCGCTGGTCCTTGGTGGCGCCACCCTTCTTCTTCTTACCCCCGTGCTTCTTCTTAGGCTTGGAATTCCCGGCCGTACTCCCTGAGTGGCGCTCCGTGGTCGGAGTAGTGTGCATCGGCTTTCCGGCAGCGGTATTCTTCGGCTTCGCATCAGCAGCAGTGGCCTGGGGGGGATCCTGTTTCCCCAAGGCAAGATCTTTCAGCAACTTTTTCATCAGACTAGCCTCAAGCTTCGGAATCATCTCCCTCCGAATCCTGTCTTCAATCTGCTTCGTATGCTGTTTCATTATCTCTCCGACACCAGCTTCAACCTCCATTTCCTGCACCTTCCGGACGCAGCTGCTTTCTTCAACTATTCGGCGGCGGCCTTGTTCTGTCGATCGAGCTCGCGGATGACAATCTCATCCTTTGCAGCCACGATGTCGGAGTTAGCCTTTTCAATGCATCGACCCTTGAGTAAACGGTACCTCTCCTTGGCGGCGTCAAACACCACCAGATCGGGGTCAGCGCTGAGGCTTTTGATATACTCCTCCATCTTTGAAGCCAGAGCGACGACATGCAAGTCCACCACATCCTGAATCTCCTCAATCTCCAGTGCTTTCGAAGCGATAAAATCAGCCTGCAGCCGCTTTTGATTCGCCAAGAGAATCTCTGCAACGGACGCGGCCGATTTCTCCTTTACGGAGGCAAATTTCGCCTGGAATTCGACGGCCTTCGTGCCGATGCTGTGAAGCACCACGACTTGACGGTCCAACTCCTTCATCTTCTTGAATTTGCTTTTCGCCTTAAGGAAGTTCTTGAAGTCGTCGCGGAAGCCCTTAACAGCCAGCGAAGTCCACTCCTTGAAAGGTTCAGGGATTGGAGTGTTGTCAGCCGGGTCCGGCATAACAATGCGTGGACGACTCTCAGAAGGTCCAGGGAGAGGATTATCAGCTTGCTTGTTTGATGTCGTGGGCTCGAGTGTTAACGCCAAAGGGGGAATTCTTCAACGCGATCCGGATCCCTGATGAGATTTCCTTTTGCCGCGCTTAGATCCTCCCTCTCCTCGAACCCTCTTAACCGAACTGCGATTCCCTGCACCGGCCTCTTCCTCCTCAGATGGATTCCAATCAAAGTCCCACGGGTCGTTGTCACTCATGGTGGAAGGGCAGCAGTGCTAGTGAAACGCTTTAGCAAGTAAGAAAAAGAGTAAAATTTCGCTAGCTAAGAAACCTCTGATCGCAAGAACTGAATTCACTCAATCAGAACAGGTCGCAAACATGTTTCGGCAAGGGGGGAGAACCCGTCAAGCCTTCATCAGTGATTCTGAACACAAAGAGATCCAACAGCTAGGCATAGGCTAAGTAATCAACCTACACCGCGAACAGAATTCAAGGTTCCCATCTACCCAGATTGCCTAACAATGGGCATTCGCCAACACAGCACTGGGTAAAAACCCAAGGATACAAGTGTCAGCCTTCCGTGGTGTCTTCGTCAGGGCTATCGATAAGCCTTCGAACCTTGGCTCGCACGAGTAACTTTGGCAAGTTACGTGCACACCTCCATGCCATGTAAACATTCCCCATATAAAAACCGCGTGAACTGAGACGATTTTTGAGGCGCCTCAAAAACCACAGCCGTGTTGTGCAGGTCTGGGCTGCAGCAAGAGCACGCTCACCTTGATGCGAGAAGACCCCAAAGGAGAACACACTGGGGTACTTAAGTAACTAATGGCACCCGAGCAGCAGCAACTTGATGCCAAAGGGCACGGCCATGAGGGCCTTGAGCAGCACGCCAAAGGTGTTTTGGGTCCACTCAAACGATGCCTTGGGAGCTCACCTTGATGTGAGAACACCCCGAAGGAGAAGAGGCTGGGGTACTTGAGCAGCAGCTTGATTCCAAACGGCACGGCTGTGAGGGCCTTGAGCAGGGCGCCAAAGGCGAGGAAGAGGCAGACGTGGAAGGAGGAGGACACGGTGAAGTAGGCCGAGTAATGCACCATGGCTGCTGCATTGCACGGCACGGGGAGGGCCTCTAACCCCGTGCCTTGCACCATGCTCACTGCTGCTCCTGACGCTGCTGCTCCTGCTGCTGCTGCGACAGCTGCTGAAGCCGAAGACTCAGGTGGTGGTGACGATGGCGACGCAAGCAGAGCGTCAGTCTCCCCTTGACCTCCACTCGCGTCCTCTCCTCCCGCCGATGCTCCCACATCTCCCTGCACCCCAGCTCCTGCTCCTGCTCCTGCTCCTGCTGCAGCCTGTGCAGCAGCGGCGGCTTGGAAAGCAGCAAGGGAGCGGCGGACAACAGAAGCATCCGCGCCCATGAACGGGCGTTCACCTGCCCGCCCACCCACCACGGCCACACCGGCAGCACCCACCGCCGCACTAGAGGCCAGATGCCCTTCTCGCCCCCCTCTGGCTCTGCTGGTGCTCGCAGCAACGACGGTAGCTTGCCCTTACTGCTACTGCTGCTGCTGCTGTTTCCGGAGGAGGGTTTTCTCGTCCCCCCTGCTGCTGACTTGGCTGCTTCCCTGCGGATAGCCCTGTTAAGCGGAAGATAGAGGGGAGTGGTGGGTTGGCGTGTGATTGTACACAGGGGAGAAGGGAGTGAGTTTGCAGGCTTGATGTTGATATTACGCTCGAGAGACAGGTAACAGGTGACTTTTGGGGGGCCGCAAAAGTCGTGGGATTGCACACAGGAACAAGGGAGTGAGTTTGCAGGCTTGATGTTGATATGACGCCCAAGAGGGGACAGGCAACAGGTGAATAAAAGAGATTTTGAGGAAGGTGGAATGCTGAGAGAAGCAGCATGCACTTACAGTACCACAAATGGCACCTGGCTGGCGCCAACTAGCACCGAGACCCTTCATTCACCCAACTCTCACACTTCCCTCTCTCTTCCTCACCCATCCCACCAACTCACCATCCCTTTCCGCTTTCGCCCCACCTCTGTGGACCTCTACCTTTCAAGTCGACTCAACCCCCCCCCAACACGAGCCCACCAGAGCCCTCCCTTTTGAGTCGACTTGATAACAAAAGCCCCAGCCTCACCGAAGTTCCCCGGCAGAAGCAAGGCCATGCACGAGGGACTCCCACGTGGCGTAGTGGCCTGCCAGGCCCCTGGGCGCTGACACGGACAGGTACGAGTCCACTGCCACCGCTGCTGCTCGCTCTGAGGACAGCTGGCGCAGCTGCGGAGGGGAGAAGGGGCGTTCGCGGGAGGCGTTGTGGTGGGTGGATGAAGGGAGGGGGGATGGAAGGATGGGAGTTGGAATAATTGGAGGAAAAGGGGCGATTGGAGTACGAACGAACATACGAGGTAGCAACTAACGAGTACAGCATGGTAGCAGGAAGATATTCACGTACCAGATTCAACACAGAAATTATCATGATGTTGAAATGACCAACACAGAGCAACGCACACACAACGATCCTCCCCCCCAACGCTCCCCCACAATTCTCCCCATGTACCCTCCCACCCTTCCCCCACCCCGCCTCGCCATCCCCTGCGCCCACACATCCCCGCACCGTGTACTGCGTGCCGAGATCCGCGGGCACGGAGTCGAACCCGCACGCGGACACCACGAGGCAGCCCGCCTTGACCGCCGCGGCGTGGTGCGCGAACGCCATGCGCTCCATGAACTCCGGCTCCCCGCACACGTCCACGTAGTCCGTGCCGGCCGCCACGCACGCCTCCACCACCGGCGCGCCGTAGAAGCGGAACGGCCCCACGCAGTTGATCAGCACGCAGCAGCGCCGCGCCATCGCCGCCAGCGACGCGGAATCGCACACGTCCGCGACGACGATCGTCACCCCCCCCCGGCCTGCTTCCCCCTGCTCCGCCGCTCCCGCGGATGCCGCCGGTCCCGCGGATCCGCCCGCCTCCTTGCGCACACTCGCTTCCGCAGCTGCCACCGCCTGCTCCACCCGCGCGCGGCTGCGCCCCGCGGCCGCCACGCGGAGGGGCGCGTGGGGAGGCAGCGGAGTGCCTGTGGAGGCAGAAGCGGGGATCGGGAGTGGGATCAAAAGATATGATCAAGACTTCAAAACATTGGCGCCTCTCCCCCCTTTCCCCTCCACCTTTTCGCCCCTCCCAGATTTAACTTTTACAAAAGAATCGAGAAAGATCATTTGTCCGAGGTGAGATCAGCATCCACACACCAGAGACTATCGAGCGAGCCACTCGCATCGCCTCTATGAGCACGAACCGTCCCGTGAATCCCGACGCCCCGAACACAACGATGTCAAATTCTCTGCCCGCGCGGTTCGCCCATTTCGAAGGGATCGGGGATTGCGGAGAAGCCATGACGGATCGCGATTAGTAACAGGCCTCTGATTGACGAACTGAGGCAGGGCATGTCATGTGGTGGTGATTCATCAGGGCAATTTTCCAACGTCACATATGAAAACAAAGGACTTGAAGAGCGGTTGGATACGATGGATCCACTTAATGCTAGTTTATCGTCCGCACTCTTGTTTTGCACGCCCTTCACTTCCCGAGCTGTCAGATTCTTTTGGAAAGGTTCATGTTCCCAACTTTCCATTCCACATGTGCCGGCGTGTGCCGTGATCCACGTGGCGGAGGACAAGTTCAAGGAGGAAAATGATCAACGGCCGATCTGTTCAGCACCCCATCGTCGGTCCGAAGCTGCCCGAGAACGTACCCAGGCCTACATGTTCCGTTCAGTTCCGTCCCTACAAATCGAGGTTTGACGGTTTCAGTTTGCGCATAAACTGTAGCCTTGGGACTGGTTGCGGAACCTTGCTTGTCGACGCTATCCCTTGAACTTGTAGATACCCCTTCGATGTAGTCGATTAAAGCCCAAGACCTGAATTACTCAACGGAAGTCAACGGGAAAAATTAGGTTCGGAAGGCAGGCAGACGGAGGTTCGGTTGGGGTGCGAACCACTTTCACTCGCGAAACCAAATTGCGACAAAAGTCCGTCGCGTACAAGAATTCGAGTGATGGGTGGGGTCCCTCACACAACAACCAGAAAAGGGCGTCCATCCCAAACTGTGCACAGTTTGGGATAGCACGCAGATAACTAGGCATATAGCATACTTGTAGACATAGCGAGGAATCAGAGGCGGCTTACGAATGTGGGTAACGCGGATCTCGATGACGACGCACAAAGATAGTGTTCGCTCGTGTCGAAATGCAGGTTTAGGGTGCAACTGATGCGTAAACTCTCGGCGAATATCGTACCGTGACCCTTCGCCCAAGCGTAAACCTCTCTCCTCGCCCTCGCTTACCGTAGGTCCCACGCTTCCGATCTCTTTCGCCATCGCAGCCGCGTGGGATGGCGCCTCCAAGACCCCAGCCCGATGCCTTCTGGACCCCAGCCCGTCGCCTTCGCTTTCCACGCCTGTCGCCTTCACTTCCCCTCCCCCGTCACCTTCACTTCCCCTCCCCCCCGTCGCCTTCACTTCCCCCCACCCCGTCGCGCAACATTCCCCCTCCCGTCGCCTTTCCCGCCCGTCGCCTTCGCTTCTCCCGCCCGTCGCCTTCCCTTCCTCTACCCATCGCTCTCGCTTCCCCCGCCCGTCGCACTCGCTTCCTCTGCCCGTCGCACTCGCTTCCCCCGCCCGTCGCACTCGCTTCCCCGCCCGTCGCACTCGCTTCCCCGCCCGTCGCACTCGCTTCCCGGCCCGCGCTTCCCCCGCCCGTCGCTCTCGCCTCCCCCGCCCATCGCACTCGCTTCCCCCGCCCGTCGCACTCGCTTCCCGCCAGTCGCACTCGCTTCCCCGCCCGCGCTTCCCCCGCCCGTCGCACTCGCTTCCCCCGCCCGTCGCACTCGCTTCCCGCCCGTCGCCACCACTACCCCTCCCATTGCCGTTCACTCTCTCCATCTCACGCTCTCCCCCTCGCTCACTCGCTTGCCCACCCGCAATCTCTTCTCTCCTGCTCACTCCCCTCCCCCCTGCTCACTCTCTTCCCCCCTGCGCACTGCACACTCTCTTCCCACCCCCCTCATTCTCTTCCCCTCTGCGCACTGCACACTCTCTTCCCACCCCCCACACTCTCTTCTCCCCTGCGCACTGCACACTCTCTTCCCACCCCCCACACTCTCTTCTCCCCTGCGCACTGCACACTCTCTTCCCACCCCCCTCACTCTCTTCCCCCCTGCGCACTGCACACTCTCTTCCCACCCCCCTTACTCTCTTCCCCCCTACGCACTGCACACTCTCTTCCCACCCCCCTCACTCTCTTCCCGCCCGTCGCACTGCACACTCTCTTCCCACCCCCCTCACTCTCTTCCCCCCTGCGCACTGCACACTCTCTTCCCACCCCCCTTACTCTCTTTCCCCCTACGCACTGCACACTCTCTTCCCACCCCCCTCACTCTCTTCCCGCCCGTCGCACTGCACACTCTCTTCCTACCCCCCACACTCTCTTCTCCCCTGCGCACTGCACACTCTCTTCCCAACCCCCTCACTCTCTTCTCCCCCATCCGTCTTCACTCTCTTTCCCCTTTTTTTCTCACCCCTCTGCCCCGTCCACATCCAACCCTCGCTTATCTGCCATACCCCCTCTTCCATCCCCGTTCTATCACAGAACCATGCTTGGACAGGTGCCCACCACCATGAGTTAATGTGATGAAAAGTTACCACCTCCTAGCTTTGTGCATTGTGCCTATAGTCCACTGTTGACAACTTTTATATGCTTTGTTCCACTTCTTTTTTGTGGCCATGTGCAACCCTGCTCTGAAGCCGACAGTGTTTTAATATGAGACGCATAAACATCAATACATGGCATGGTTACCTATTTGTCATACCACTAATCATCAACCATGAAATTTGATGTGTCGTATGGTACCGGTATGTTGAAGCAGCTGGGAAGGACTGTACGAAACAATGACAATCGAAGGGCAATCCCCTTGAATATACAAACAGGCGAGGAGTGTACAGGCGTGGAAGGGAAAGGGGGGATGGGAGGATGTGAGGAAATCAAGTAGGGTGTAGCAAGTGGGTCGGACAGAAAAGGCGGCCGACAGGAAGATCGGAAAGTGGCAGCTTGAAAAAAAGGGCGGCAGGGTGGAGGGGCAGGAGGATGAAAGACAGAGTGGGTGGGAGAGTGGTAGGGTGGAGAGAGGCTTGGAGAAAGAGCTGAATGGAGAGTGGAAGGGCGGACGGTACTTGCCACCGACGATGACGCAAACGCGATGGGAAGGGAAGAGATATCAGCGGGGAGAAAAAGCGCAACGCGAGAGATGGAGAAAGGGAGGAAGGGGTATGAATGCGGAGGAAGGGAGGAGGGCAGGAGGAGAAAGTGTGGCAGGGGGTGGAACAGGGGATAGGAGGATCCCTGCACCCTCTCTCCCTACCCCCCCGCCTCCCCTGCCCCCCCTGCCCCGCCTCCCCCACTCCCCTGTCCCGTCTAGGGGAAGCGTGGGCGAGGGTGGGGGGAAGCGTGGGCGACGGTGGGGCGGATGGGGGGATGAGAGGAAGAGTGGGTGATAGGAAGGGTGGGTGAGAGGAAAGGAAGATGAGACGAAGGGAGGATGAGAGGAAGGGAGGATGAGAGGAAAGGAGGATGAGAGGAAAGGAGGATGAGAGGACGGGAGGATGAGAGGAAACGAGGATGTGAGGACGGGAGGATGAGATGAAGGGCGGATGAGAGGGTGGGGGGAAACGTGGGCGATGGTGGGGGGAAGCGTGGGCGAGGGTGGGGGGAAACGTGGGCGACGGTGGGGGGAAGCGTGGGAGACGGTGGGGGGAAGCATGAGAGACGGTGGGGGGAAGCATGGGAGACGGTGGGGGGAAGCATGGGAGACGGTGGGGGGAACCCTGGGCGAGGGTGGGGTGAAGCGTGGGCGAGGGTGGGGGGAAGCATGGGAGACGGTGGGGGGAAGCATGGGAGACGGTGGGGGGAAGCATGGGAGACGGTGGGGGGAAGCATGGGAGACGGTGGGGGGAAGCATGGGAGACGGTGGGGGGAAGCATGGGAGACGGTGGGGGGAAGCATGGGAGACGGTGGGGGGAACCCTGGGCGAGGGTGGGGTGAAGCGTGGGCGAGGGTGGGATGAAGCCTGGGCGATGAGCGGGGAAGCGTGAGAGAAGGTGGGGGAAGGCGCGAGCGACGGTGTCCCCGGGAGTGGGGTAAGGCAGGAGGATGCGTGAGTGGCGACAAGGGGAAAGCGTGAGCGACGGTGCGGGAAAGCGTGAGCGACGGTGCGGGAAAGAGTGAGCGACGTTGCGGGAAAGCGTGACCGACGTTGCGGGAAAGCGTGAGCGATAGGGCCAAATGCGATGTTTGCGGAAAGGCGATGCCCAAGTAAGGAAACGTGGGCGCGCCTGTCAGGAGAGTGGGGAGTGGTGGGGACACGACAACGGAAAAAGAGGGTGGTCGGAGTGGTGAAAAAAGCGTCGGAATGAGGCTCGACGACGTTGACGAGGAAGCGACGGGAGGGGAGAGGGGTAAGGGCGACGGGAGGGCAATGGCGACGGGGAAACAGAGGAAGCGGGGGCGACGGTGCGTCAACGGGGAGGACGATGTGAGGGGAATTGAGGTTCACCATTTCACCGCGGTGTGGAATATTATGCGCTTCGCGCCTTTCACGCTTGGGATGAGGGTAAACTAAGTGTGGTAGGTAGGAAATTGCCTCTGGCCTATGATCTATGAGTTTCGCGTACTAGCCGCACAAGCATTCCTGAATTACAGTTTTTTTCAAACTGTGCACAGGCAGAGCCCACCCTCCTTCAGGAAATGGTGGTTGGGACTCTCGCCAAGCAGACCTGTTCTGCCCTACGACTCAGTCATTTTGTGGCGCGACGTTTTCTGGTTACCAGCCTGGCTCGGGAGGTCAAATGTGGGTTCGGTAGGCAAACTGTGCACAGTTTGCCATTTTTTTTTTGTAATTCAGGTCTTGGGCTTTAACAAATTCTGACACCCTAATTTGTGGCAGGAGGAACTCTGGTCCGAGTGTTTGGGAAATTATACGCGCAGTCACAATTATGGCCGTATTATCACGTTTGGTCACGGGGTCATCACGGACAGTCACAGTACAGTACTTCGCTATCACGCATGATCACAGCGCTATCACGCTTGATCACACCTCGCCCCGCAGGGTTATCACGTTTGGTCACTCGTTGAAACGCCCGCCAAAAAGTCGAAACTCTCAAATCTACTGTACAGATTCGGGTACTTTTTATCTCGCACGCGTTTTGTCTGTAGTGAAAAACGTGATGTGACTGTCGAAATATACTCGGTCCTTGTTAGGGACCGATGCAGTTTAATGCAGAGTCCGCATTTTGCAGTGAATATACGCGATCAATAGCAGTTTCGATTATATAATCACTCTTCTCTTTGTAATTGATACCTTGACATTATGTTTTGCACACGCAGTAATAAATAACCCAATTACACAATGTCATTTGCACATCAACCACCAGTCAATCTTGGATTTGAGTAGGCATACGATATGGTGAATTAAACAAGCTACATGGAGGGAGGTATCAGAGTTAATTCTCCCTTTAGTGAGCGCTTGCCTGCAAGTTAAATTACACTTATATTACGTTAGCTTGCAGGCAAGCGCTCGCTAGAGGGAGAATTACCTCTGATACCTCCCTCCCTGTAGCTTGTTTAATTCACCATATCGTATGTCTACTCAAATCCAAGATTGACTGGTGGTTGATTTGCAAACGACATTGTGTAATTGGGTTATTTATTACTGCGTGTGCAAAACATAATGTCGAGGTATCAATTACAAAGAGAAGAGTGATTATATAATCGAAACTGCTATTGATCGCGTATATTCACTGCAAGTTGCGGACTCTGCATTAAACTGCATCGGTCCCTAACAAGGACCGAGCATATTTCGACAGTCACATCACGTTTTTCACTACAGACAAAACGCGCGCGAGATAAAAGTACCCGAATCTGTACAGTAGATTTGAGAGTTTCGACTTTTTGGCGGGCGTTTCAACGAGTGACCAAACGTGATAACCCTGCGGGGCGAGGAGTGATCAAGCGTGATAGCGCTGTGATCACGCGTGATAGCGAAGTACTGTACTGTGACTGTCCGTGATGACCCCGTGACCAAACGTGATAATACGGCCATAATTGTGACTGCGCGTATAATTTCCCCCGAGTGTTTTGGTGACCCTTTGGGCGGAGCCTGAGCCTGACGCCAGCCAAAGCGGAAATGTCATGTTTTGGTTTGCTTCCACGGCCTTGCTGAGGTGGTCAGACAGCGGTTATTGGGCAATGCGATTTCCCAGTCTGAATCTGAAGCTTCAAGCGTGTGAATGGCTTACTCCGAATTCCGAGCCATAAAGAACAGTACTACTGTACTGTGCTACCCCGCAATTCACGAGTCAGAACAACCATTCCCCTCGCGTCCTCAGCTTTGAACTGGTACCTACAAAATGGTGGAGGTTTGTGCACTTGTGTCCTTTGTGACGGCCAAACTCCCTATCCTCTAATTCGATTAGTTGTTGTTTCTCGTGGTCCTGCTTTTGCGGGTCAACTTCTTTTATACAAACTTGTTTGTCAGCAGAGCCTTCCTCTCCAGTCAGACTACAGTGTCATCCACGAGCCTTCCCTATCACACCATTGGTTCGGGGATAAAAAATCTCCTACCTCGTACACCCTCTTTCTCGCCATTGTGGATTTGGTTATAATGAAGTCAAGATGGGAAAAGCACGGTTAACAGTAGTTTAATTACGTTTCGGTATGGTTCAATTAGGCAAATCAAATATAACAAGGTATTCCACCTGTTCGGCAGAGTTCAGTGTAGCGAGAAACAGGGTGTAGCTGTTGTTGAATGTCAGCCTTGCTGGCGAAAGAAAGGACAACAAGATCAACAATAACAACCATACCCACCGGTTAGGGTGAAAGTTCTCTTCCAAAAGTACCTCGCCCTCGTCGAGTCTTTCATCCCTCTCCTTCGCAGCTTCTCCTTCCTGTCGCTAGGCAGCCGGAACCAGGCAGAGGCACAGCAAGTAACGGTTTCGTCGTCGGCATAGCAGGGGAAGCGGTACAATGCGGGAGAGCGAGGGGGATGGGCGAAGCCCGGGGGAAGGTCCTGAGGAAGTGGCGGGGGCAGGGACCGTAGTCAGCTCATCGTGCAAGCGCATCAAGTGCGGCGATAGGTAGGGGTTGCTTACTACTTAGTGATTCACGCTTCAATAACCTAGACATAGGAAAATATAATGGATAAAATGTACGACAAATCTCTGGTGGGACATCCAGGGTGAAATACAACACTCATCTGTTAGCAAGCGGCTTATTGTTGCATGGGAAAGTTCAGCTTCACAACGAAGCAAGCTTGTTTGCCCTGGCACATCAGCGTCGGTGTAAATCGGACCACTTATCCGAAGTGCTCGTTTATAAGCTCGCGATGGGTTGTCGTTCTCTGTCCGTGATAGCGTAGCATACGCTTTAGGGCCTTGTCAGACAGGATGAATCACTTTAGTGTCAACGTCGATCCGTTTTCCCCTTTTAGAACTGCTCTAGAAACTCGGTCTCTCGTTCATTCGTTGTTTTCTTTCATTTCTTCTTTCTTTCTTTTGTTCCTATTTTTTACTTTTTTCTTTTTTTATTTCTCTCTCTCTCTTCTCTAGAGCTTTTCCTTGCCGAGCGAGGTGCCGAATCTGTAATCCCCAAGCCCGTCGGCGTCTTCAACATTTTCCAAAACCTAGAGGCCTCCATATTCATCCCCTTTTCCCGTTTCGTATCCGGCTCTTCCCTTCTCGTCTTCTTTCTCCGTTCCTCTCTCCGGTAACCCTATTCTCCCCATCGCAGCGACAACACCGGTTCGTCACCTCCACCACCGGCAGCAGACTCGCAGCAGTCCTCCCTCCCCGCGTTATCTCCGCGTTCCGCCCGCAACCCGCCTGCCTCTTTCCCCGCGGGCGTCAACCGCAGCCGCACTCCCGTCCTCCCGCCCGTTGGCGCGCCTGCGGCAGTCGGCGCGGCCATGGGCTGGCGCGGGGGCCCGCGATGGGCGGACGAAGCGGCTGGGGAAGAGAGCCAACAGGGCTGGCGGGGGAACGAGGGTGCGGGCGAGCAAGCGTACCGCGATGCGCGGCAAGGGGATCTGGTGGGCCAAGAAGCGACGGGTGGGCGGGCGGACTGGGTCCGGGGAGATGGACGCGAGGGGCAAGGGGAGGAGGATACTGCGGGTGAGGTGGGGGAAGCGGAAGGGGTAGCAGGCAGAGGTGTCGGCCCCGAAAGGAGCGGAGGGGACGGGGGCGCACGGGAAGGCAGAGGTGTGGAGCAGCTGCGTTCTCATATTGAGAGCTCGCTTAGCGTTCCGTTCACCTCTCGTGGCTCTCGCATGCCGTCGCGTGATTCGCGGCGGAATGCTGGGACGAGGTACGGACCGTTAACAGGCAGGATGTGGTGGCGCGAAGGCAGTTTTACCACCGCGATACGTGGTGCTGCTGCTGGTGGCAGTAGTGCTGCTGCTGGTGGCAGTAGTGCTGCTGCTGGTGGTAGTGGTGCTGGTGGTGCTGGTGGTAGTGGTGCTGCTGGTGCTGGCGGTAGTGGTGCTGGTGGTGCTGGCTCAGTACCTGGTGTGGCGCTCGGAGTGGGTAGACGTGCGAGAGAAGGTGGCGTGGGAGATGGTGATGCAGGAGGGAGTGAGAGGAGGGGAGTTGCGAGACCAGTGGAAGAGGAGAAAGCGACGGAGGCAGTTGGTTGTGTTTCTGAGGCAGGAGACGGGATTGAGGTGGCAGGGAGAGGCGGTGGTGCTTCTATTTCTGCTACTGTTTCTGCTTTGGCTTCTGCTGTTGCTGCTGCTGCTGCCGCTCGTGCTGGTGCTGGTGCTGGTGCTGCTGCTGCTGCTGCTGGTGCTGGTGGTGGTGGTGCTGCTGCTGCTGCTGTTGCTGAAGGGGGAGGGGGAGGAGGTGGAGGTGAAGGGGAAGGAGGAGGGGATGGAGAAGGGGAAGGAAGAAGGGAAGAAGGCAGGGGCGGAAGTGAAGGTGGTAGAAGAATTGGTGAACGTAATCCCGGCGGGGATCAATCAGCCCACCAGGTGGACGGGGTTGGCAATGCAATGGATTTTGGTGAGGCTGTGGAGGTTGCGGGATGGAGGAGGGCGGAGGGCGGGCGGATGTACAGGTATCGGGGTGGGAGAGCATTTCTGATGGACTATGGCAACGCGGACGATGATGATGATGAGGATGATGAGGATGAGGATGGGGACGGGGATGCACTGATGAGGCGGTATCATCTTGATGTGACCTGGGCCAGGATAGGACCGAGGGACCGATTAGAGGTGGGCAGGGATGGTGGGGGCAGGAGGGACAGGTGGTATGAGTTGGATAGGCGGGGCGAGGAGGAGTGGAGACGGCGTATGCGAGATTGGAGGTTTGATGAGTGGAGGAGGGATGAGAGGAGAAGGGATGAGTGGCGGAGGGACGAGTGGAGGAGGGATGAGTGGAGGGAGGTGGAGTGGAGGAGGGCGATGGGATGGGAGTTTGGGAGAGAATGGGCAAGAGAGTGGGAGAGGAGGAGGGATCGGCGGGGGCTGGAGCGTGGAGGGATGCAGGACGTTGAAAGGCAGGTGGGGGAGGGGGGTGCCGGGGTGAGGGGAGGAGGAGCACGCATGGATTGGAGATTCCAAAGGATGGAACAGCATGAGAGGTATGAGAGGCTTGAGAGGCTTGATAGGCTTGGGACGAATGGTGCAGATGTGGATGGCACTCGCCCTACTGGCCCCACTGGCCCCAGGCGCAATGGCCCCTTGCTTCCTCCTGTGCCTGGCGAAGCTGTGCCTGATCGTGCTGCTGCTGATGCTGCTGCTGCTGTTGCTGCTGCTGTTGCTGCTGCAACTTCTGTTGCTGCCTCCGCTGCTGCCTCTTCTGCTGCTGCCGTGCTTCCCTCCCCTCGCCCTGCTGCAGCCCCTCCTCATGTTGCTGTGCTAACCGCTCCTCGCGTTGCAGCATCGCCCCCTGTTCACGTAGGAGCCTTGCCTCAGCACATTCCCGTCGTGACCCAATTGGATGACGCGGGTGCGGGCGACGCACATGGGAGAGCAGGGGCAGGGACGCGTGAACGAGTGGCGGGCAGGGGTGTGGGAGGGGAGGTAGCAGGCGGAGGAGGAGGAGGAGGAGGAGGAGCGTTGGGAGATGGGAGAGGCGGAGATGGGGCGAGAAGAGGCAGTAGGGAGGTTGGAAAGAGAAGGGGAGGGGGAGGGGGAGGGGGAGCGGGAGGGGGAGGGGGAGGGGGAGGGGGAGGAGGGGGAGGGGGAGGAGGAGGGGGGGGGAGGAGGAGGGGGAGGGGGAGGAGGAGGGGGAGGGGGGAGGGGGAGGAGGAGGGGGAGGGGGAGGGGATGCTGATGGGGGGAGTGGAGGTGGTGGCAGTGGGGGAGGAGAGGGAGGAGGTGAGAGGGCGAGCGGGGACAAGGGGCAGCAGAGCGGCAACGGCAGCGGTAGCAATCCCAACAACGAGAACAACGACAACGGCAACAACAACCACCCCAACCCTGCAGACCGTCCCTCAGACGACCCATACCCGCACCCCGACCTGGTACCAGACGTGCTTTACCACGTCTTCTCCTTCCTGGACCAGCTGTCCCTCTGCCGCGCAGCCCTGGTCTGCCAGCGCTGGCGCCTCGTGAGCGAGCACCACGAGTTTTGGCGCCACCTCTCCTTCCAAGCCTTCCCCTCTGCCACCTTCGCGCACGTGCACCGCCTCGCTCTCAAGTACCCGCAGGCGCACTCTCTCAACCTCTGCGGCCTGCGCTTCACACAGCAGCAGGTGGAGGCGATTCTCACCCCGCTCGCCTCCCACCTCCGCAGCCTCTCCCTCGGGATGGAACGAATTCCCGAAGACATCTTTGCGTGTATTGAAACCACCTGCCCGTCGCTCACGCACTTGCGTGTGCTTGACGCGGTGGTGGGAAACCCCATGCTGCCAGAGCTCTTCCTCTCCAACCCCAAGCTACTCACCCTCCACATGCTCTCCTGCTGTCTCCTCCGTGTGGTGCTGAACCTCCCTGAGCTCACCCACCTCTCGCTTGCCCGCACCACCGTCACCCAAGTCACCCTCTTCTGCCCGCGCTTGCTCTCCCTCGATCTCTCCGGCTGCCATAAGCTCTCGGATTCCAGTCTTCGTGTGGCGGTCCTGGACTGCCCGACTATCACCGCTCTCAACATCTCCTCGTGCTCCTACACCAGCGACGAAACCCTCTCTCAGATCGCCACTCACTGCCGGCTCCTAACCTCGCTGGATATTTCCGGCTGCACAAATGTGTCTTTGGACCGGGTGCGTCTGCCCCAGGTGACGAGTCTGCGTATGGTGGGGTGCGACAGTATTACTAACGCGTCCCTCGCATCCCTCGCGCACTGTATGCTGCTGGAGAGCCTTGTCATGGATGGCTGTCCGCTGCTGTCTGCTGTGACCCTCGTGCTGCCGTTGCTGCGGCGTATTTCGCTGCTGGGGTGCCGGCAGCTGAAGAAGGTGTGTGTGACGAGCGAGAGGCTGGAGAGCATTGCTGTTGCTCCCACCGTTGGTGGTGTTTCCGACTGCACTCTCCGCATGCAGCAGCAGCAGGGGCAGCAGCAGGGGCGGCAGCAAGGGCAGCAGCAAGGGCAGGACCAGAATCAGGGACAGCAGGGTGAGCGGGTGCAGCAGGATGAGGGTGACGTGGAGAGGCGAATGGAGCAGGTGGATGGGGTGGCAGGAGCAGATGCGGAGAGGCAGGAGCAGGGCGAGGGCGCTCAAGCAAGGCTCGCAAGGCTGGCACGGCTGGCAAGGATGGCTAGGCGGGGACAGGCAGATGCTCAGGCCCCCGGGCCAAGACTGTGGCTTGCGCAGGCGCCAGGGGGGCTGGGACAAATGCTGCGGCAAGGACAGGATCAGGGGCAGGGACAGGGGCAGGGGCGGGCACAGGGGCAGGGACAGGGTGAAGGGGGGCAGGGGGATGGCCAGGGGGATGGGCCGGGGGAGGGGCAGATGCAGAGCCTTGCGCAGGGGCAGCACGGGGTGCTGAGCAGCTTGGAGATCCGGTCGCCTGCCATGCAGCGCCTGGACCTGCGGTCGCAGCTGTACCTGGAATCACTCGTGCTGCGCTGTGGCTACCTGGTGGAGCTGCAGCTGTCTGCGTGTGACGGGCTCACGAACGAGGTGTTCCGCTCGCTGAGTGAGGTCGATGCATGCCCCCGTCTGGCTGTTCTGCACATGGACGACTGTGAGGTGAGTTGTGAGGTGAGGCACAGGCAGGCACTGGCTGTGCTGCTGCACTGCACATGGACGGCTGTGAGTGAGGTGAGGCGGGGGCCTGTAGGGTGCAGTGCCTACCAGCCCTGCTGCAATTTGCTGTGCACTTGGTGGTTCAAGACATTTAAAAAAGAGAGAAAAAAAAACATAATACTTTGTTCTGACCAATAAGAAGTCTTGCCCGCCCTCGCGCTCTCTCTCTCCCGCTCCCGCCCTCCCCTGCTCCCTCCCTCCCCTGCAGGGCCTGACGGACGTGCACCTGACAGCCCCGTCCCTCCAGTACCTCTCTCTCACCGGCTGTCGCCGCATCACCGCCCTCTCCCTCGCCTGCCCCATGCTCCACACCCTGCTCCTCGACGCCTGCGACAACCTCTCCTCCGCCTCCCTCGCCCCCGTCGCCCTCGCCTCTCTCAACTTCGGCATCTTCCCGCACCTCACCTCCCTCCGTCTCCACGCGCCCTTACTCACTTCCTTGGAGCTCTGCGGGTGCGGGCAGCTGCAATTCACGGATATCCGCTGCCCAGAGCTCACCTCTCTGGACGCGTCTTACTGCAGTCTGCTCTCCGATGAGTGTCTGCTCGCTGTCTCCCTCCACTGCCCTGCCATCCGCACGCTTGTGCTCGCAGCGTGCCCTACTGTCGGCCCTGCAGGGTTAGCCGCGTTGTCTCTCCTGCGAAAGCTCTCCTGTCTGGATCTGTCGTATACGTTTCTCACCTCGCTGCACCCTGTCTTCTCCACGTGTCATGGGCTTGTCACGCTGCGACTCTCGGCTTGTAAGTATCTCACCGAAGGGGCGCTGGCGCCGCTGGTGGAGTGGCGGGAGGGAGGGGCGGCAGGGGGAGGAGATGGAGGGTTGGCGGGAGGGGCGGCTGCAGTAGGAACGACTGGAGGAGACGCAACCGCAATGGAAGAAGCATCTGCAGCAGAGGCAGCGCCAGCAGGTGCAGGGATGGAGGAGGAGAGGAACAGCGCAGGAGGTTCAGGCTGCAAAGAGGGTGAGCAGGGCAGTGGCAGGGAGGGAGAGCAAGGTAAACCGGCAGCGGCAGCGGCAGAGGACGAGAACGGGGTTGTACGCGGTGCCCTGCCGTACCTTGAGGAGCTGGACATATCATATGGGAGTATTGGCAGGGCGGCGCTGGCAGCGCTGGTGGGTGGGTGTCCGCGCCTGCTGCACCTGTCCTTGAACGGGTGCACGCAGGCAGACGACAGCATGTGGGATGAGCTCGCTGCTGCTGCCGCCGCTGGGGACGGAGGAGGGAGAGCGCTTGCACCTGCTGCTGTTGCTGGTGAGACTCATGATGCTGAGGCTGCTGGTGGTGGGGTTGGTGATGGTGGTGCTGTTGTTGCTGCTGCTGGAAAGATGGATTGGGAGGAGGCGCAGAGTGGGCAGTGTGCGCAGGAGGAGGAGGTGGAGGCGGTACCAGACAGCATGATGGAACGCGGGCACCAACAGCAGCAGCAAGAGCAACAGAAGCAGCATCCTGTCATCCCAGTGCAGCAGCAGTACCGGCACCTGCAGTCTCTGAGCTGTGTGGGCTGCCATGGCTTCACCTCTATCCGCCTGCCGCACCCCTCCATCTTCCCGCGCCTCACAACACTCAACTTCACATTCGCCATTAACGTCACGCAAGCACTCATCGCATGCCCGCACCTCACCTCCCTCAACCTCAGGTGAGATGAGATCTCTCTGTAAAATGCGATCGTTCAGGTATACCTTGACGCTTCCAGTAGTCATGTCATGCATTTCGTATGGGGCTGCTCGTGAGCTGATCTTTTCCCTGTCCTTGGCTGCAGCGCAACATGTTCGCATCAGTATGCTCTACTCACTCACTTCATCAGCTCTTCTCCCCTTCTGTACTCTTCTCCATGTGTGTGCTCCCCAACTCTGTCCTCCTCGTCCCTCCCTGCGTCATCATTCTCTTTCCGTGCCTCGTGTGAATGCTCTTTCCTTTCCCCTCCACTCTTCGCCCAACCAGCAAGTGCAAGTCTCTGGTTACTCTGCACCTCGACTGCCCTCGTCTCACCACACTTACCCTCCAGGTAATCCCTGTTCTGTTCTACCCAACCAAGCCCTCACTCAAGCCCTCACTCAAGCCCTCACTCAAGCCCTCGCGCCAGCACTTGGTGCATTCCTTATGCGTCACATTCTCCGGTGCATCTCTTTTCCTGCCAAGCCAGTCAATCACCTCAAGAACATGTCTGGAATGCACAGGCGTCTGTCTGTACTACCTATCCAGTCGGCGCTTAACAACCAGTCTGTTGTGCTGTCGCCTCGCCACATCACATGTCGCAAGCTCCCAGATCACGCCTGCAACACACAGCACACACCACCAGTCTACACCATCCCCGCCCCGTGCAACCACTCTCGCTCCCCTCCCCCTCTCCTTCTCCCCATCCCTTCCCCCGGTGCTTCCTTCCGTCCATCAGATGCTTCCCTCTACGGAACCACCTTCATTCGCCCCAAACCCCACCCCCCCCCCCCCCCCACCCTCCACCCTGCCTCCCCTTGCCCGCCTCCCTTTGACCTTTCAAATTGTGCTGCGGCAGATGTGTGCGCTGTCGTCCTCGGTGCTGCTTGCGGCCATGGCGGACTGTCCCTCCCTTGAAACCCTTGACATGCAGCATTGCCCCAATGTACGTCCCCTCCTTTTCGTGGGCAAGCAAGCCACGTGTATAGAGAGTATTTTTGAGACGTCTAAAAAATTCCCTCTCTTGAAACCCTTGACATGCAGCATTGCCCCAATGTACGTCCCCTCCTTTCTATGCCAAAAGGCCATGGTTGTAGTCAGCTCAAAGGTACACATAGCCCCCCCCCCCCAATGTGCATGCCCGCCTTTTCTTGGCCACGTAGGGAATAGGGTTAGATGAATGACTCTCAGTTGAAGTTGACAGAAGAACAGCTATACCGTCGCGTTGATATCTGGATTCGTGGTTTCGCTCCCTCCCACAGTCTGTCTCTCTCTTTCCTGCACCTTCTCTTGTATTTTACCTTGTGCTGGCTTTGCCCAGGTAGTTCTCTGATTGACTTTTCTTGCAAGTATGATGTACCTGCTTCCTCTGCACGCCCGCTTACGTTGTGTGCTTGCATCACATCATCCCATCCCAACCCCCATCCCATCCCATCCCATCCCACCCCATCCCACCTTACCCCACCCCTCCCCACCCCACCCCACGCCATTCCATCCATCCCATCCCATCCCACCTCATCACATCCCTTCTAATGCCACCAATTCTCCCGTGTTCCCCATGTGCCAGCTTGACACAGACACACTGTCTCGGCTCAGGGAGCAACACCCTAACATCCAAAGGGTGTACACTACACTATGTGCATGAGATGTATTGGATGCGACAACTCCGGAGCTGCACATGGTATATCGAATTTATAGCTTGTCGTGTTTCAAATGCGTGGAGCGTATAATATTGCTACGGTGTGATGTGTGTGAGATACCAGTATGAGCTGTTATGGATTGAATGGATGGTTCCTGATTTGTGTGTGTGTGTGTGTGTGTGTATATCGCTTATGTAAATTTGTTAGTCTGCTTATTCAACTAGTAAGGAGCATGTTTCGTTGCCCCTTGAAACGAATCTGAAGCCCTGGTAATCTCGCTCGGGTGAGCCGTACACCGCAAATTCGGTCAAATCCACTCTGCTCTCTCCTCAACTCCTCCCAAAGTAGTAGTGTGAGTCTTGTAAAGAACGCCAGAGATTCAGTGCCCATGTCACTGGCCCAGTCTGAATGTCACCAGTCTGAGTGTCAGCGGTAGTTTATCAAAAGCACGATTAGTTCTAAGCCTCCTGGCCACTAGATGGCGCATCCGACGGCTCCCGTGAGCCGACGACATCCGTCCAGCACGCAGCGAATTCTGGCGGCTGCGCGTTGGCTGGCCGCGGCAGGGACGCTCGGCGCGCTTATATGGGCCGTTTACGCGTGGACAGTCGCACTGCCAGCGCCCGTCCCGGCTGACGTGGCACCACCGTGGTCGTTCTCGGAGAAGCGCGCCATGGAGCACGTGCGACGGCTGGCCGCCATTGGTCCGCACGAATACGCGTCGCCTAGGCTGGAACAAGCGATGGAGGTGAGTGAGATCAGGGCGGAAGATTGGGGGATAAAAAGAAATTGGAATCGACGCAATCTGATAAAGAAAAAGCGGAGCAATTGGAAGATTTCTTGGCCTTTCTTGCATGTTTGTACGTTGGTTCTTTTCCATATTTTTTGCACGGATTGTCTGCAGTTTCGAGCCTTACGTGTGGTACTAACGTGGGGTGAGAGTAACATTCGTTGGGACGATGGCATAGCATGAAAGTTGGAAACAGCACATCCTTGTTCTCTTGCTTTCTTCTTCGCTTCAACTTCTCCTTTGCTTCCTTTTGCTCTCTCTCCAGGTCATTCTCGAGGCCATCAGTGATATCCGAGGGTCTATTCCCCCATGCAGCGCTGACAACACAGGCACACATACCGCACCACCATCACCATCACCACCATCAGCAGCAGCAGCAGCGCCAGCAGCAGCAGCAGCGCCAGCAGCAGCAGCAGCAGCAGCAGCAGCAGCAGCAGCAGCAGCAGCAGCAGCGGCAGCAGCAGCAGCAGCAGCAGCAGCAGCAGCAGCGGCAGCAGCAGCAGCAGCAGCAGCAGCAGCAGCAGCAGCGGCAGCGTGCATGGACGTGGAGGTGCAGCATGCAGCAGCAGGGTGGCTGCCCATCGGCAAGGGCCTCACAGTGGGGGGCGGCGCCATGACCATCGCGTACGAGCATGTGCGCAACGTGCTCGTGCGCGTGGGGGTGCGCCCGCATCTGGGCCATGCGGGGGAGCGGGGCGAGGGGGGAGAACGAGGGGAAAGGGTGGAGCGTGCGGGCCCTAGTGCTGCTAGCGCTCCTGGTAGTTCCAGTGGTTATGGTGATGATGATGGTGGTGGTGGTGATGTTGATGGTGGTGCTGCTGCTGCTGCCACTGCTGGTGCTGGAGTGTCGTCGGCTGACGGACGTTTGTTTCAGCGCCCATCCATGCTGGTCTCCGCTCACATTGACACTGTCTTTACTGGGTGAGACGAGACCTTCACCTCCACACACCACCACATGCCTTGCGCCATTTGGGGCGTCTCAAAAGTGTTTCTTTCAGCGCCCATCCATGCTGGTGTCTGCTCACATTGACACTGTCTTTACCGGGTGAGATGAGAACACACCTGCACTCACACACCCGTCCCTTGCACCGCATGCCATGCATCAAATGCCTCCTTTTTTTCTTCTTCTCCTCATCTGGAGCTCGTCCACACACCCTCCCACGTTCCGTCTCTACTCCTCTGCACCGCTGCCTTCCTCCCGCAACTTCACCCCCTCTCCCCTTCTCCCTCTCCCCATTCGACACTCCTGCTCCCACCCCCACTCTCTCCCTATCACTCGAATGGACCTTGTATTGATTGATGGGTGGTACACGGGAAGAAGCAAACACAAGCATAACAAACGGGCTTCCTAACTAACACCTATCTCCTACACCCTCCCGCTCCCTTCCGTCCGACCCTAGTGGTCGAACGGGGGCTCAATCAGCTGGTAGAGCTGGCCTTCACTAAGGGGGGCAAAGGGCCCCCGCATGCCCAGTTCGTTCACTCTCTCTCTGTCACTCTCTCTCCTTCCACCTGTGCGCGCCCCGCAGCCCTGGAGTGGGCGACGACAGCAGCAACGTGGCGGTCATGCTAGAGCTCATGCGCAACGTGCTGCATGCCCTCGCACGCTCCTCTGTCACTGGGGAGGAGGACGGGGCAGCGGTGCAGAGCGATGCGGTGCAGAACGATGTGGTGTTTGTGCTCAACAGTGGCGAGGAGGAGGGGCTTATTGGCGCGCACGCCTTCATTTCACAGGTAAGGAGGGCTCGTTGCTTCGAGAGGCAAGCAGGGAAGGAAGGAATGGGGGAGGGAGGTGGTGATGGTGGTTAGAGGGGACAAACAGGCAGACGGGCATGGAGGAGGAGCTGTGCCTCCTTCCCTTCCTCATTCCTTCCTTCCCCATTCCGTCAATTTACTCGATCAACGCCCACACCAACCCCACCACCCACACCAACCCCACCACCCCTACCATCCATCCGTGCTCACCCGCCCACACGCAGCACCCGTGGGCGCGCTCAGTGCGGGCGTTCATAGACCTCGAGGCTATGGGAATTGGAGGGCCCTCCTCTGTCTTCCAGGTATCTTCTCCATGCTCACCTCCTCCTTCATTTTCTGCTTTTCTTCTCCGTCCTTTTATGCCTCTGTCTCCTTGCTCCTGCCTTTCATGCCCCTGCCTCTCGCATCCACACCTCGCGTGTGCCCATACCATCCTTCCCTCGCTCCATCTCTTTCTCATCTTCCCGGCCCCACCAGAATCTCTCTACCTAATCCTTAACTCTCTTCCCCCTTCCCGTTCCCGCCCCCTCCCTCCCTCCCTCTCCTATTAGCCCCCTTCCTTTTCCACCACTCATCGTTATCTCACCCCGCTCAACCCTGCATGCCCAACCCAGGCGGGTCCATCGGCATGGCTACTGCGCATGTTCCAAGCATCTGCCCCTCGCCCACTCGCCATTGTGTTCGCTCAGGTGCCTGCCTCTTCCTGCTCTCACCTGCCTCTCTTGCAGTGCTTATTTGTGTTTCTTACACAATTCTACTCTCGTCTTTCAGATAAAGTGAATCGCATCATTCCCACACGCCTTCCAAATATGCGCTGTTGCAATGACCTCTTGCGCTCGTCGTGACTATACCACCTTTATCTCTACTCCCTCGCCGCTTGCCCTTCCTGCCCCTCCCACCCTCAAACCCCTCCTCCCATCCTCTCACCCATACTGCCCCTCCCTCCCTCCTTCCCTCCCCTCCTGCCGTTCTCACTTTCCTCCTTACATTTCGCTCTTTACTTCTTAGACCTCTGCAAGCCCTCTTGCATTTCCTGCCCTTTCTCCTGATCATTCCTCCTCCTCCCCTCCTCCCCTCCTCCCCTCCTCCCCTCCTCCCCTCCTCCCCTCCTCCCCTCCTCCCCTCCGCCCTCCTCCCTCCGCCCTCCTCCCTCCGCCCTCCTCCCTCCTCCCTCCGCCCATCAGGACATATTCCGCAGTGGGCTGTTGAATGCAGGTACTGACTTCGCAGTGTATCAGGCCAAGGGGGGGCTGTCCGGGCTTGACTTTGTGTTCATGAAGAACAGTGCAGTCTACCACACCAAGGTGAATGGGTTTCGATTGAGACGCTCTCTAGACTTCTCTCGAACGGGTTCTAGTGAGACGTCTCAGAACCGGGACAAGGGACGGCTGTTGCGGCTTGACTTTGTGTTCATGAAGAACAGTGCAGTCTACCACACCAAGGTGAATGGGTTTCGATTGAGACGCTCTCTAGACTTCTCTCGAACGGGTTCTAGTGAGACGTCTCAGAACCGGGACAAGGGACGGCTGTTGCGGCTTGACTTTGTGTTCATGAAGAACAGTGCAGTCTACCACACCAAGGTGAATGGGTTTCGATTGAGACGCTCTCTAGACTTCTCTCGAACGGGTTCTAGTGAGACGTCTCAGAACCGGGACAAGGGACGGCTGTTGCGGCTTGACTTTGTGTTCATGAAGAACAGTGCAGTCTACCACACCAAGGTGGGTGGGTGGGTGGACCGTACCGTCTTCTCCCATGCTCGCTCGCGGCTCGCCTGCCTTTTGAATTCCACCTGGCAATCGGTTTCCCGCTTCCTTTTGTTCTCAGCTGACAGCACTACTTCTTTCCTCCTCCTTCTTTTCCCCCTTTTTTTTGGGCGGGGGGGGGAAGTTCAGTTTGCTTTTATGTCTTCCACCCCTTATCTCTCAATGAAACCCCTCCCCTCTCCACACCTTCTCCTCCCAATTCCCCCCGTCAGTTCGACGCTCTGCCTCTGCTGGAACCAAACCAGGCTCCCTGCAGCATCTGGGAGGCAACCTGCTGCCCTTCCTGCTTCTCCCTTCAAACCCCCTCCTCTCCCCACCTTCCCCCGTCCTCCCCCCACCCATCAGTTCGACGCACTGCCTCTGTTGGAACCGGGCTCCCTGCAGCATCTGGGAGACAACCTGCTGCCCTTCCTGCTCGCCATCGCCCGCTCGCCCCTGCTCGCCCTGCAGCCCTGCCACCCCGCTCCCTGGCACCAGGGGGGAGGGCGCGCAGACGGGCCGGGGGCTGCGAGAGATGGGGGGGAGGGAAGGGAGAGGGGCGAGAAAGGAGTGGAAGGAGGAGGTGGTGGAGGTGAAGGGGGGCCGGTGAAGTTCAAGCCTAGTGAGGCGATCTTCATGGATTTGATGGTGGGTGTTCTTGCTGCTGCTGCTGCTGCTGCTGCTGCTTGCTGTATGTTTGGTGGTTGTGTGGGTGGGCGTGTGGTGGGGTACACGCATAGGTGTTGCGATCCGGCATACACCATGCCGTGTCTTCTTTCGTCTTTTCGCCCTCCAGTGAATCATGTTCGCGTCCCTCTCTTCCATTGTTTACCGTTCACAACTTTCCCCTTCCTCCCCTCCCTCTTCCTCCCCTCCCTCTTCCTCCCCTCCCTCTTCCTCCCCTCCCTCTTCCTCCCCAACCCCATTCTTCCTCCCCAACCCCATTCTTCCTCCCCAACCCCATTCTTCCTCCCCAACCCCATTCTTCCTCCCCAACCCCATTCTTCCTCCCCAACCTTGCTCCCCCTTGCACACATCCTCTCCCTCTCTCCCACTTTTCCTCTCCCTTCCAGGCACGGCATCTGCTTGTCATCCCCACCACCACTGCAACCTTCGCCTATCGCATCATCTTATCGCTCACCTTCCTCCTCCTCGCCCCCTCCATCCTCTCCTCCCCTCTCACCTTCCTCGTCTCCCTCCTCTCCCTCCTCCTCACCCTCCTCCACTCCCTCCTCCTCCCGCTCTCCGTCGCGTTCCTCCTCCCACTACTCTTCCCCTCCACCCCAACCCCCTTCCTCTCGCTCCCGCTCCTCCTCCTCCCACTCTTCGCTGCACCAGCAGCAGCAGGCGCCCTTCTTGGTTCCTCCTTAGGTCGTCTTCTCCTTCTGAACTGGCTTGGCAGGGCCAACACAGGCAGAAACAACAGGGAGATGAGAGAGGGGGGAGGGGAGGAGGCAGGAAGGAGGGAGAGGGAGAGGGAGAGGGAGAGGGAGGCGGAGAGGGAGGTGGAGGGGTGGCAGTGGGTGGCGGGAGTGGTGCTGTGGGCCGTGCTGCTGGCGATGGGTGTGAGAGGCGGGGCAGGCTCGTCGTACCTGGCTGCTGTGTGGCTGCTCATGCCTGTGGGCCGAGGTGAGGAGGGGGAGAGACAGCAGGTGGGTCAGCAGCTGTTGGGGTTCTTCTGAGAATTAATGGGGTGAGAAGTGAGGGTGGTGAACGTGACGGGGCAGGGATCAGAGGGTGGTGACCGTGACGGAACATGCATGGCGAGTGGCAAGGGGAGTCAACTTGAGTATCTTTTCTGGTTCTTCCTGGCTTTTACTCCCTTCCACTCCCACCCCCTTCCATCACAAACCAACTCTCCCCTTGCTCCCTTCTCGCTCACTCCCACTCCCGTCCCATTCCCGTCCCTCCCCCCATTCTCGTTCCTGTCCCTCGCCCCCTTCCTTCCCGCAGCTCTACTCTCGCTCCTCGCACCCACTGACGCACACCATGCCAGCACCAGAGCGCCGGCTGTCCTCCCCCAAGCACTGCTCTCTGCACCGTCCCTTCTAGGCACAGTGCTGTGCTGCTGTGTGCCGATTGCCCTCTCCGCCAACATCCTCCTCGCCTTCCCTCAGTTCGTCCTCGGCGCCCTCCACAGAGCTGACATGTGAGTGAGTGAGTGCGGTGCTGTGCGGTGCTTCTCTGTGCTGTGATGTGCTGTGTTGGGCACGGTGCTGTGCATCTGTACTCCCAATGCTCTCTCTTTCCCCGTCCCCGTCCCCATCCCCTTCCCTGTCCCCTTTCCTGTCTCCTTCCCTGTCCGCTTCCCCGTCCGCTTCCTCGTCTCCTTCCCCGTTTCCTCCCTTCTGCAGGAGCCCCGGGTCTCTGCCCCTGTGGGCGTGCAACGTGGTGGCAGCGCTCGTGGTGGCAGTCTTTGTGTGCCTCGCACTCTCACTGCTGCTGCCCTCCGCTCACGAGCACGGTCAGACCCACTGATGCCAAGGGGACAGAGCATGTGAGGGAGGAAAGGGGCTGGGAGGGAGGACAGAGGATGGGAGGGGGCAAGTGAAGGGAATGTAAAGATGAAAGGAGGAGTGGGGTGGATTGGGGAAGAGGGGGATGGTGGACGGGGCTGTGAGTGGGCATTGTGAAAGAAAGGGAGGCGTGAAGGGATGGGTGGGTGGGTTTGGTCAACCCTGTAACTTCATGCACTCTCCTGCACCTGACACCATCCCTTCCCACCCCTCTTCCTCCCCTCCCCACCCCCGGCCCCCCTCCCACCACACCTCTTCTTCCTGCTTATTGTGCTTTTAGCTCACCTCCTCTCCCTCTTCATTGCAACACGTCCTATTCCTCCTCTCCTGCTTCCTGGCTCTCGTCCTCCTACCTGCAGGGGCGTCTCTCCTCCTGTGCCCCGCCCTTGTGCTCGTCTGTGGTGTCTCTATCGCATGCCTCGCCGCCTACCAACCACCTGCGTTCACCGCACACAACCCAAGGGCCGTACTGGTGAGCCCGCCTCTGACCCCACCCCTCCCCAACGTGTGCATCTCTCGAAAGGCCTCCCATCTCATCCTATTGCGTCATAACTCGTTATGTCACATTCTATCCTGTCACATCACATGCCGTGACACCACACGTCTTTTCGCATGAGCTGCAATCACATTGCATTCGACTGCATGCATCCCTGACCCTTTTCATCTACCTCCATGCCCCTTCCTTGAACACCCCAGCTTCTGGACACGTGTCAGGCTGCCACTCGCTGCACATCCGAACAACTTCCTGCAAACCACACTCTCTCCACACTCCCCCTAAGCGGATCCTGCCACCCAGTCTCTCCCGCGCTCCCCCACTCCACCACTTCCTCCTCCTCTCAGCCCTCTGACCTCGCACAGGATCCCTTCTGCGCCCTCACTATCTCTCCTCTTTCCCCCGGGCCATTCACTCAAGAAGCAGCAGCTATCAGTGCCAGCACTGGCCTTCCACTCCACTGCACCCACAACACCTCGACCACCAACAACAACTCCCATAGCAGCCACAGCAGCAGCGGCGCCGGCGGCAGCGCCGGCAGCAGCAGCAGTACCAACGGCGGCGGCGGCGGCAGCAGCAGTGCGAGTGGCAGCGTATGGCAGTGGCTGGACTTTGGCGGTGTTTTCACTGTGAAGTCTGGGTGCTATGGTGACAGGCGGGGCGTGGGAAGGGGGCATGGGACGGAGCTAGAGAGGGACCACCACCCTGCCTCCATTGCACTCAGTCTCCCTCTCTCTGGCTCTATCACCAACACCATGTGCAGTGGCAGCAGTACAGAGTCTGGTTGCCGTTGCCAAGAGACGGCTGACATGCATGGGGCAGCCATTATCAGTGCCAGCACTGGGAAGGTTGGGACGGGAGATGAGGGGGAGGGAGGGGTGCATTTGGAACCAGAGCAGCAGGGGGGACAAAGGGAGCAGGGGGAACAGCAGGAGCAGGAGCAGCTTCATTGCCTGGCTGTGTGTGCAGTTTGCAGTGACGCAGGGTGGCTGAATCAGGGGGAGAAAAACGAGCACAGGGCAGCCCAAGGTGATGTGGACGGGCGACGCGAGGCGATGGAGGAAAAAGGGGACCGACCTGACAGTTCTATCGGCAGCAGTGGCAGCAGCGATGCGAGGGAGGGAGTTGACGCTCAGTCTGACACATCTCAGCTGGACTCACCTGCACTGCCGCATCCCATGGTGCATGTGGTGCTGATATCCGCACGTCCCATCGTGCGCCGCTTCCATGTAGCCATCAACCACTCGCGTGTGGCTGCCTTCTCCCTCTGGCGCCCCACTTCTCCTCAGAACCATGGTACGCGGTTCCTTCCTCTCCTCCCCATGGCCTGTTCTACACACGAACCGTGTCCAGGAGAGAGACAGAGACAGAGACACGGAATAGGCATGACTGATATCCATCAGGGCGCTTCTATTGTAGCACACGGTCTCGCTCCCCTGCCTTCTCTGGTCCAGTCCTGCCATGTTTCACGTGCACTATTCTCATGAAATGTCTGTCACTTCTGCTACTCGAATCTCCCTCACTACAGTACTACTTGGTTCCCTCACTTTCTTCCTCTGGCTAAAACCTTTTCCCCACCCTAAGCAGCACTGCTTCCGCTGGTGCCTACACGGCACCTCTCGCTTCCAGCTAACTCCACACCTCTCCACCACCTCACGTGGAAGGCCGGCTTGCCTTCGCAACAGCCGGGAAAGAGCTCTGATGCCGATCGCACTGATCCTGCTAACAGCAGTGCTACTGGCGGTGATGTTGTGAATCGTTTGAAGCTGCGTCCCACTGCCCTGCTTGTGCTCCACATGCGGGACAGAGTTGCGGGAAATACACGAGACCAGGATGATGAAAATTCCAGGAAGCCACTGGTTACTGTGAGAGGGGACGTGAGCCTTGATGATGGGGATGCCCATGAAATGGAGAGCTCTGGTGGAGGAGTCGAAGTGAGCTTGAAAAAGGTTGTCGATTCCATGCCTCCATACGTGAGCATGTTTGCTAAAAGCTCCTTTCCGTTCCCCTTCGCATTTGTGCATAGGTTGTTCGCTGACTAGTTTTGGTATTTGTAAATTTGTTTTGATACAATTGTGGCTTGTATTAGACACCAATATTGGTGCATTCGAAATTAGGATGTACATTTCTTATGGTACTGTATTTCTTATGGTACTGTATTTCTTATGTCACGTTCTGACGGCCCTCCCAACAACACCATCCAAATTTCGATTTGACAATTTCGCCCCTCTCTGCTAGTCCAGACACCACCACCACCCTGCTTTGATTTCCGGCATTCTCGAGGATACTCCCGCAGCTTTCTTGGTGTCTTGGGAACTCGCAGAACGCAACGGAAATTTGTCATCAGGCGGTGCTCCCTGTCCCCGACTAGCTCAAACTCTCTCGTTCTGACGTATCATTTTGCACGTGGGTGACTCGGCCATGGCTGCTGGAAATTCTTTAGTGACTCCTGTCCTGGAGAAGTTTGCGAAGCTGAAGGACGAGGAAGGGGCGTATCTCACCGTTAACTTCCTCGACATTTGTCGTCTGATCCTGCCCATCGTTGGTAATGTCATCCTTGACGGAATCTCGCGCCCAGTCGCTCCAGTTGCTTGTGATTTAGCGATGGGTTGTTCCACGCACTTCGCGAAGCTGTTCTTGCGAATTGGCTTAGGTCAGTCTCTGCTTACGTTGTTGCTTGACTGCAGATAAATTCGGGACCGCGATGTCTATCATAAAGACCGACATAAGTGGAAACATCTCGGTAAGTATGCTTTTACAGTAATCAGGAAGAATTTTCTGAAATGTTGTTCCCTTTGCTGTCTGATTAGGAGGACGGCCCAAACACCAGGGATGTGTTGGCGCCAGCACGCCTTAATTACAAGCCATTACCATATTCTGCAATGTGGACAGCCTACGTGCAGTCCATGCATTCCGAAATCTAGACTCGACTACGTGCTTCATCTTGCATTCCACCTAATCTCGAGATCATCACTAAATCTAGCACTCGTGAAACCGATATTGTTCCCTTGTTCTTCTTTTCGTTCTATCAGCGGTTGCAAAAGGCCTATGATGGTGACAAGGAGAGCTACACCAGGTTGTACGAGTTGGTTCGAAAGGAGGTCGCCACAGGCAAGCCTTTGGACCCAAATGGGAACACAAGTGGGCTTTTCTGGCTCACACGGTAAAAATCTTCTTTCCTCACCATGCATTCGTCATGTGAAGATAAACATTGACTCGCTTTCTCAAGCACACATTTGCTGTCTCTATGCCATGACCTGTGCAGTGCTCTTGACTTCGTGATACACATGGTGGATGGGTTGGAGCAACATACAGACTGGTCGGTGTCGCACGCTGCCACTGTTGCATATGAGACACGGTTAAAGAAGTATCACGGTTGGATCACTCAGCAGGCTTTTGCAGTAAGTCTTCTCAAGGATACCTACCAAGTATATGTTTTTTTTTCTGGCTTTCCCCTCTGCAGGTTTTCCCAGTATCAGCATATGCTTTCTTTTTTAATTAGCAGGGTATTGTATGGCTAATAGTTCCTGCATTGTTGCCCGTCCAGGTTGTGTTGAAGTTCTGCCCCGAGCGTTCATACTTCTATAAACAGCTGGGTGATGACAGTGTCCATGGGGAGCTTCAGGAGCTAGTAGCCAAATTCGAGCCCATCTGCACAGAGCTCGACGAGTTTCTGGTACGTGGCCGTCTGAACGATCTACATAACTCTCCTCGTGCTGGGACTGCGGCTGGTACTTCTCTCTTCAAAAGTTCTCACCACCTTGTTGTGAACCTCCTTGTCCGGGGCCCTTTGCCTAATCTGTGTCCTTGCAGGCAGCAAATGGAGCAAGCTCTCTTGTGGCCAAATGATTGCAAGATTTGTCCATGCACTTCCCAGAATGGCTACCTGTGGTATTTGATGGTTACGTTACTTCTGAATTGAAACTAGTGGTTGGAACTTGGAGGAGCCTGTTCTTGTTCGAATTTATTGTACATTTGTTTTCCGCTCTCAGCGCGGTTATACTCGTTAGGGTGAAAAACGGACTGTCACACCAAGCCATAACCACCGACACGACAGTACACCGCTGTTGCGGGTTTGGTGCTGGCACCATGCCACATTCACCACACCTATGCCGTGGCGGCCTCCAGCTCAGCCTAGTCCCACAGTGTTGCGAATTTCCATTTGCCACTTCCGTTCTGCGCTTGGTAAGGGGGGATTTTGGAGGGAAACAGAGGCTGAGCCTGGTGGAAGCTGACCCAGCTTCGTCGACTCCTTCGTATTGGTCCAAAGCTGAGTGCTCCGAGGGATGTGGAAGCGCATCCAATCCAATCGCTTGGAAGACAAGCTGTGGGGTGAAGGGAGTGGTGGTGGGTGAAGCGGAGAAGGGAGGTGGGGAGGAGGGGGGCGCAAATCGAAACCGCTGGCCCACCTTTGCACCGCGCGCACACTGTCGGCCACCATTGCTCCGCGCACTGGGCCGCCGCATCCGTACCGACGGGGAAATTGGAGATGGCGCAAAGTTGCGAACCAACGTTCTCCTCACATCCCACACACCACCCTCCCTTCCACCTACTACAAGTTGTGTTCATCAGGCAGGTTAGCCCACCAATCAGCGCGCTGAAATTCTATCCCAACCAAACCAAAGCTGAACCATGTTCATATGGGGCGCGCCAGCAGCACCGTCACCATGCATTGCCATGGGAAACAGAGTCATGGAGGTACTGTATGGTGGTGGCGGTGGTGGACTTGAACATGGCACAGGCAGGGCGTCTTCCTTCGTTGGCACAACGACTGCATGCACTGCACACGCCTTCACGTGGAGCGTCCTTCCGGCCATCCGTTGGCTGAAGCTGGAATTGAATAATAAGCTGCTGCTACGTTTTTCGTTCCGCTGTTGTCAGGCAAATTCTCGAGCCCTTCCCTGGTTATCACGCATCTTATTCTAGCGAGAAGACAGGACAATCTCATCTTGAATGGCGAAAGCTCAGCTTCTCGAGGCGCAGAACGCAGGAAGCAGCGCGATGGAAGCCGCGGCGCGCCCTGTGCAGTCGCATGCCGACTGCGCATTCCGCTGCGCGCACGCCTCACCGTCCACGGAAACGCCTTGTTATCCACATATCCATACCGCTAGGCAAACGACGCATGGCGGTCACGAGGAGAGCGGCATTCGCGGCGATCGCAGTGAGTGCGATGATCGCGCGGACGACGTCGATCGCGATGGTGGTGCCGAGGAGGAATCCCCCCTCGCTCCGTGGGAAACGGAGCTGCGGCGGAATAGGGACGTTGAATACACCACGAATCTCTCGCAATGGCTGCGCGAACGAGCTGACGTGGCGGAATCGTGGAAGTGGAAGCACGTCTCCATGGTGAGACATCGTCCCATGGCGTGTGCAGTCTTATAATAATAGGTAGTGCTATTTAGGATAAGGGCGGCGACGGGATCGGTGACTGTGATACGTGGATTCGCATGAGTGAAAACCTTTTCGTGGGCGGATTATGTGTGGTTGTTTTTACCCCTCCTCTCCTCCCTCCTTATCTCGGTCTACGTATCCTGCTCTTTCCCTTTTCTTCCCTGCCCCTCCCATTCGCCTCATTCACCCCATTCCTCCCACTCATCCCACTCTTCCCACTCGCGCTTCTCCGCCCGGTCCGCGCGCGTCCACCATCGCGTGTCAGCGGGACGCCTTGGAGTCCTCCGGGGCGGTGCGGCCAGTGCGCTTCTACCTCTCGCCTTCTCGAAACGCGCTCCACTGCACGTGGTGCTTCAGCCAGTGAGTCGCTCACACGTGGACTTCAATGACTCTCCATTGCTCAACTGCGGGGGGTTCTATCCCTCTCTAGATCCCTCTGTCCCTCTGGCTTCTCTACCAACCCGCCGGTCCGGTTTTACTGTCCCCGCACTCCCTTTCCACTCACTCCCCACTCTCTCCCTCTCTCTTCCTCCTTTTCTCCCTCTTCCTGCTACTACGGTTCTCAGCTCATCTCTCACCCGCACCTCCCACCCCACTTCCCATCTCCGCTCCCCTTCCCTTTCCCCGCGCGCGGCCGTGTGGCGGGTATCGCGGGAATGGCGGTGTCTTTGGCGGTGTGCGCGCGCGTGTCACTGCGGTGCGCAGGGTGATGGTGGGGCATCCGCAAGTCGTGCATGGCGGCGCCACTGCATTCGCGTTTGACGAGACCTTTGGCGTGCTCTTCGGTCCGTGCTTCCTCGCCCAATCTCACCTGCTCTCGCCTGCTCTCGCCTGCTCTCGCCTGCTCTCGCCTGCTCTCGCCTGTTCTCGCCTGTTCTCGCCTGCTCTCGCCTGCTCTCGCCTGCTCTCGCCTGCTCTCGCCTGCTCTCGCCTGCTCTCGCCTGTTCTCGCCTGCTCTCGCCTGCTCTCGCCTGCTCTCGCCTGCTCTCGCCTGCTCTCGCCTGCTCTTGCCTGCTCTCGCCTGCTCTTGCCTGCTCCCGCCTGATCGCGCTTGCTTGTACCGCTGTCCTTTTCTATCCATTTCTCTTTTGTACCAATCGCTGTCTCCGTTCACCTCCCCTGTCCACCACTTCCCCGTTCTAATCTTCCGCGCCTCTTAAATTGCTTCATTCTTTCCCTCTCTTCCTCCACTCCTGTTTTTCAACCTCTGACAGTTCTTGAAATGACTCAAACGCCTCTTCCGACATACTCCCACGTTCCCCAACCTCTCCTCCTCCGCTCCCCCTCTCCTCTTCCCCTCTCCGCGTCTCCTCTCCCACTCTCCTCCTCTCCTCCCCTCTTCTCCGTGTGTGCGTGCAGCCATGCTGGGCGTGGGCCATGGCTTCACTGCCAACATCAGTGTTAACTACCGCAAGGTGAGGGCGCTCACGGGGAAGCAGGGGGAGACGAGGGGGGAGATGAGTGGGTGATGAGGAATGTGAGGAGAACATGGCGGGTGGGAGGGAATTTTTTCGCTCAAGGAATTAGAGATGGAGTGTCCTGGATATAGTGTGTAGGTCCTTGGGTAGTCATTATCACAGCACTTGTGTGCTGTGCTGCTGCTTTTATGCCATGTCTGCTATGAGCACTGCGCGTCTCCCCCTCCCCTCCCCCTCCTCTCCCCAACCCCGCCCTCCCTTCCCCCTTCCTTTGCCTCTCCCTCAATTCCTCCACCCCCAACCTCCTTGTCAATGCACCAGGCCTTAGCTACCCTTCCCTTTTTTCTCGTTACTTCCCAATTTCTTGCCTGCCACAGCCTCTACCAGCGGCTTTCACTGCATGCATGCATGTGGCTCTAGATCGAGTGGAGGGAAGGAAGGTACGTGTGCATGTGTATCCGCACCACAATTCTTCCTCGCAGCGTCCACACCTTCTCTCTTCCGCTCTTTACTCTAGCATTTTCATCAAACTACATCCCCTCTTTCAACCCTCCTCACCACCCCACCGCCCCCCCCCCCCGCCTTTCCACTCCGCCTTTCTCACTCTCCCCCCTCCTCCCCCTTCTCCTACCCCCTCCTCTCTCTCACTTCCCAATCTGCCAGTATTTCCTGTGTGGCTCCATACGCAGCGACCCAAGTGAGGACGCAGAGATATATTCCGAAGCCTCAGCTCTCTTCATCATCCCACGCCCCCTGAGCTCGGATGTGCCTGCCACCATGTCAGCAGGTCAATGAAGAGTTATAGCACGGAGTGTCGGTACTTGTCTGCTGCTGACAAAAAATTGCGGCATATATGGGACATCTGGAAAGTTCAGATGCTGTAGATGCAGGTTTTTAAAAAAGTTATTATTGCTATCACTTACTAGCAAACAGAACATAATTAGCATTGGTGATCTACAGCATTTGTGTTTTCATTGGTGATCTACAGCACCGGGTCAGAAAGAGTTAAAAGGGTGTTCACACTTCTCCTTGTGAGTACAGATTCAAAGTGGTGAGGTGCAAGCTCTCTGATGGTCATTTTGAAGTGACACACCTAACCGCTGACCCACTTCACGGGAGGGCCAAAACAAATGGGTTTGTAAGAGCATGAAAAGCAGTGTACTTTTCCAAATGTATAGCCATTTCTTCAGCGCTGTGTTGTTCGTGTTTGTTCAGTAGCCACGGTTGCTACCGTTTATCGCGGTAGCGTTACTGGCGCGAATACCGTACGTACTAAGAAATATCTGGGACGGCTGTGCTGCACTGCACGCGCCTGTTGCCCTTGGCCTGCTGCAGGCGTTGACCTGAGGTGGCCTGCCAAGCAGGCAACCTCTGCAGAAGAAAAATGCGGGGAGTACTGTACTGTACTGTACTGGACAGCACAGTGCATCGTGCGGTGTAGGGTGAGCCTTGCT